TTATCTCCCCAAAGCAGAGGTGGCCACATTCTCCTGTGGCATGCCCAGCCCCTTTCCTGGATTGCTCAGTAGGATAGTCAGAGATAGTCCTACATTTCTTTCTCAGTCTTTCCCTGTGCTGGGGGCAGCAGCGGAGAGGAACTACTGAGAAGCTCACTAAGTTGTGGGCCTCCAGGGACCCTTGAGCGCTGTACTGAGTAATGGGGCCCACAGTGGGATTGTGCACATCTGACTTCCTGGGCTCAGGCTCTTTAAGGGTCCTCCTGTGCTTCCTCACACCCTGGCCCCTTCACACCAGGGCTGTTTTATTGTTTTATAACCTGCTTTAGAACCTAACTTGCCAGAGTCCGATGGGGGCTATTCTGCACTTTCTCACTTCACCAAACCCAAGTCTTGCTGTTTTAAGCAGTTTGGTCACTTGCAAAGGCTTCTCTTTCAGATCTAAGCAAATTATAAAAACCTCTAGTCATGTGGCTATCTTCAGCGTTCCCCAAGCCCCATCCACAACAATACAGAGGAAACTAAGTGTTAATCCCAGCTGCCTCTCCCCCACCAAGGCCACCCAGCCTCTCCCTAGCCACTTTCTCTACTGAAACTTGAACAAAATCTCAAATAATTTGCAACTTTTGGGATAAGCAAGTAAGGAGTAGCCTTTGGCTTTCCTATTTACTACATCTAATGCTAGAAAATGATTGGAATAAAGGAGTTGATGATACTCACAGCGAATGCAGCCAAAGAATCATAAGGCATGCCCACCAACCAGCCTTTTCCAAATAGCACTATCCCCCAATTTAAACGTCCTTCTCTGAAAAGATGCAAGTTGAAAAGCCTGGGGTATTGATATGACTATGACCTCTCTTGCATTCTGGATATTTAGGACTATTTAAATCCCAGGGAACAGTTGCAGTGAACCTTTATTTAGTGAATAAAAGTTTAAAGCCAAAGGTTATTTATGGTTCTGCAGAGAGGGGACCTGAGTGGCTATTTACGAGCACGTGATTCCAATAAACTTTGTTTTATGGCTTGAGAGTTGACAAGCCAAAATATAATTCCCACCATAAATTAGGTTAAGAGCATACAAGTGCAGATGCTTCGTTCCTGGAGCAGCGATAGGGAAGTGAGAGGCTCCATCCAGCGCCGGGCTCAGAAGCAGATAGCTCTACCCTCAGCTACCCTACACACTAGACAAGAAAAAAACAGTAAGTCACTTAGCACTTTTTCCTCAATAACTCTGTGGGGGGGGTCTGATTCTGAGCCTGACCTTCTCTACCTGAGGAAAGCCTATGGAAGTTATTTCTAATTTTAGCCTAAAACTAAGTTAATAGATAGAATGGAGATCTTGGATTTGCCCCCTCCTTTGTATGCATGGGAAATTAGGAGTTGAGGGCTTCTACACCAAATGCAGGACTTATACTCTCTTCCCTGTGGTGGGACAACTGCTTAGAAAGAAGAATAAAACAGTCTTAGTTAGGGGTTGATTCTGAGATATCTCAGAGTGGGTTGCTGTTCCTGGAGGACTAAAAACTTAAAGATGGACATCAGTGCCTGGGGGAACCACCGCTCTGTAGGATGGCTTTGTAGGTCCTCCTGCAGCAAAGTTAGAAGATTAGTGTCAAACCCATAGAACTAGATCATAGTCTAGAGGGTTCCTTTACGGTCTAGATTGGTTACTGATGATTTTCCTTTCTAGTTATCCTTTGGGTTCTCAATTCCCCTTGGAAGGAAATGACTCTGTTTTGAGCTGGAGACATGGAAAAGCATGTCCCAGTCATGCCTGACCCTTCTTTGATAGGAAGGCAGGTTTGGAGACTGGGCTGGGGTCTACTGTTTGGGACTGAGGAATTCAAAACCAGCCTGAAACTGGAAAAGGAAGGCTGACCTGTTCCCAGAGGGAACTGGGGTCGGGATAGACAGAGTATCTGCTGCCTCACCATGGCCCTGCGCCCACCCGCCTGCAGCAGGAGATACACAAAGGCCCATTTTCTCCGACTCCCCAGTTCACCACTGGGGAAACCCTGCCTCGGGCGGTCTGAATCAGGCCTTATAACCAGTAGAGTTTTGCCCATGGGTGCGTGAAGTGGGGGAGGTGACCAGGAATGAGTCTTATCCTTCCAGGCTGTGCCTTAGAGGATGTTGTCCGCGGAGGACTTTAACCGGCTCCCGAAGGTGGTTACCCAAAGCTAGGAGTTCTAGGTATTAGTGGAGGGCCTTGGCACTTTTCTCCATGTCATCTATTTCTTCGTTATTTCTGCTTTATTATCCTGTGGCATTTGAGTGACCCCGTTTTCATTGCAACAGGTTCCGGAGCACAAGGGGGAACCAGAGAGAGCTACTGTAAGTACCTTCCCGTTTTCTCTCAGGAAAGGGCAGTGCTAAGAGAAGCGGTTGTAGTCTAAGGTCCCCGTCAGCGGGGATGGGAGGGTGGTGGAGCTGCGCTGCCTCCCCAGGCCAGAAATAGCCTGGAGAGCCCGCTGGGGGAAGGAGGGGAACTCCAGACTGAGCCTTTAGGAAACATTTCTGAGGCCTAGTTAACCTCCCTGTACCTTCCAGGCCTTTCCCAGATGTATCAGTTTTGCACAGGTGCAGCGGACTTGCCGCTAATTTGCAATTCACCCTCTCAAGGAAGTACAGCGAGCATCCTCAACTGCTAGAATTGACACAGTTAACACCAAGGCACCCTTGTCCCCTTCAGCAGTCCATTCTAAATTAAGCCTGCCTAGTCTAACTCAGTGCTCTCTCTGTCTCTCTGTCTCTCTCTCTGTCTCTCTGTCTCCCTCTCTCTATATATGTATATATATATATATATTAATTTTGAAATGGATTCATTACAAACAGAAACAAACATGTAACCCTTGATGGCCTTGTGTGTGGTGAACTGGCCTGCCTTCAGGAAGGACTGCGCATTATGAGCTTATGTGGACATTCCTCTCCTGTCGCTTTCCAGTTCCCAGTCCCACGGGGATGAGTTCTAGGTTTGGGGTAACAGCTGAACAAGAAGAGCATTTGCTTTCTGTTTCACCTCTGCTTCTCCTTAGCTGCAGTTGAAGAATTTCTGCTTCAGAGTCCAGTGAAATCGGGTGAGGTCGGGGTAGGGACTCCAGTTCTTTGGCTCTGAAGTTTGAATATGAGCGTGCTGGTGACACCTTCAGGAGGACCTCCTCATTAGGGTGGTGGCAATAGAGGGGAGTTAAGGAAATAGCAGGGGCTTGTCACTCACTGCAAACCCCAAGTGGCTTTGTTTTAATGGAAGATTGGGTTGGAAAGGGCCACAGGGACCAGGCATCCTTCCTCTCCTGTGAGATGTCTTCCTTTCAGGATCAGAGAAGCTGGAACTGGACCCAGGGCCAGATTTCTTTGCTGGGCCCGTGGTGGGGCTGAGATTCCTCAGCTTGCAGTCTCCTCTATGGACCAGGCCTGCATAAAGTAGACCTGCCTCTAGGCTCCATCATAAAAATCTGGAATCACCAGACTTCCCCTGGTCACCCCCCTTTCCTGACACCCTTGGAGGTGGGTGCTTATCTCTACCAAGGCGGCTTGCCTGCAAACCCGAATCTGGCCCCTTGTAGCGGCATACAGCACAAAAAAAGCCGGAGAGATCAAAAGCATTTGTATGGGCAGTTGAGCGGGAGGTGAATATTTAACGCTTTTGTTCATCAATAACTTGTTGGCTTTGACCTGTCTGAACAAGTCGAGCAATAAGGTGAAATGCAGGTCACAATGTCTAACAAATATGAAAATGTGTATACTCATCTTGCTCCCCACTCAAGCTTCCTCAATTTGTCTCGATAAAGCCTAGGTAGGCCCAGTATCCCCAGGAAAGCTGTGCATAAGAGGGATTATCAGAAACTGGGGAGGGGGCGTTTAACAAACAGATTTTAACCCTTTTACAATTGGCATCGGGAAATCCCTTCAAAATAATCAAAACAGTGCAAGTCAAAGAAAGGAAAGGGAGTGGAAAACCAAAGTACAGAGTAAAAGTGAGCACCCAATTTTGCCAGTTTGGGTGAGGGGAGTCTTCCTGCCCCACCCCATCAAACTAAGGCGTGAAGCTTGAGAGTAATTTTTTTGAATTATGGGAGAAAGAATCAAAACAATTCTTAGAAATGTGGACATCTTCAGCCTGTTATCAGGCATCCAAAAACTCAGCTCAGGTCAGGGCATCCCTCTGCCCCTGAAATCAGTCCAGCCCCAGAGTGCATCTGGGCTCTTGATGCCCTGAATTGAGGGGCAAGCCCGGGACAGCAGAGTCGCTGGGGCGGTGAAATTCATGAACTTTTGTACTCTTCTGTGCTGCTGTCGGCAAAGCAAAAATAATGAAACTTTGTGATATGTTTGTAAATGATTTCGAATGACCCCTCGCCCTGCCCTTCACCATCAGCGCAACGGTCTCAGCCCAGGGCGGCTCAGTGGCCGCAAAGAGCGCCTGCCTCAGGGTCTGCAGCGGCAGCGGCAGCGGCAGCGGCAGCCGGATCCAGCAGGGCTGAGGGCCCAGAAAGGTAAATGCTTGAATTCTGGGAGAAGTAGCTGTGACCACCAACCTGGCTCAGGAATTGGTGAAAAATATCCTCTTTTGCCTTTTCCAAAACTCCCTACCGCTGAGGGCCTTTGCTTCTTTTTGGGAAATACCACTTGATAAGGGGGCAGGAGATTTGGATTCTGAAAGGGAGCAATAAAGCAGCCATCTCTGCTTTTCTTTTCTTTTTAAAGAAGAAGGTCCTGGTTGTTCAGCTGCTCTGTAGCCCTGATCCTGGCAAGAGAATAAGATGACTGTTGCTGCGAATTGACACCGAGCCTACCTGAATGAACTGTCTCTGAAAGCCGGGCTTGGGGAGTTCCTGGTGGCTGAGCTGAAGAGATCTGGGCTGTCAGCTGCCCCAGTGTCTGCTCTGGGTAGGACCCGAGGTTGTAACGTTGTCTATATATACCCTGTAGAACCGAATTTGTGTGGTTCCCACATAGTCACAGATTCGATTCTAGGGGAATATATGGTCGATGCAAAAACTTCATGTCTCCGACATAGCCAGAGTCTGAGGCGCCGAGAGCAGTGGCAGCCGAGCCGGCCAGCCACCTCTTTCTTTCTCATTACCTTGGACTCCAGGGTGACCGATTTGCCTGGTGACATTGTGCAGTCTTTTCCTGGAGAAACCCCACCTTTATCAATAGAGGTTCCAGGAGGTGCTTAAGTGGTGGCCTGAGTGTAAGGCCAAGGGGCCGGGTTTCAGGGAACTGGGAGTGAGGGAAAAGCCATCAAGCTCCCGCAGCAGCTCTCTCCTCTGGAGCAAGAGATTCAAAGGTACCCAAATGGGGCTCACCTGGTTTTAAGGCCCTGGTGTGGGAAGAAGACAACTTGGGAAGAAGGCCATTGAGGACCTCTGGAGCTACATTTAGGCAAGGCTAAGGTCCCCTCCCCACCATCCAACCTGACCCAAGGCACAGTTACCAGACCCAGGACAGTGAGGGGCTCTTGCCATATCAGCAAGACCTAACTTCAACTAGAAACACCCCAGCCTGGACATTGGCAGAAAACCAGAGTGGTTACTCATTGCCTAACTCAATTCAGGTCCGCCAGATTCTGGTAACTTTTGGGTGACCCTGATGAAGACAAAGCCACGACAGGTCTTTGTATGTCAGAGTCCAGGACTCCCGCCAGCTGGCCGGGGCAGGCCTAGAACACTCTCTACCCAACTCAGAGGCCACATTGCCACACTCGTTCTTCCTTATTTGCACCCCGATAGGACAATCCACTCTTCCGTAAACTGTACCCTCTTTGAGGGCTGCTTCAGGCGATGGTGAGTGAGGAGGGCACAGGAGGCTAGCAAAGTCAGTGGAAGACAAAAGCTGAGATTATCTGCTGGGACGAGGGGTGTTGGGGATAGAATGGGAACTATATTAACATCTGTCAGGGACTCTCAAATGTGGCACGGCAAGTCACTTGATTACACGTATGTTATTTAGTTAAATTTGTGAAAATTATGAGATGCTCACAAACCCGGTGATAAACTCGCCTCCTTCCTATTGGCTGGTCTGGTCACATGGCCGCCCAACTTTATTCAGTTGACAGCAAGTAGGAGGGCCCAATGGAAGGAGAAAAAAAGACAACACGAGAAAAATTAGTATTTTCTACCTTCTGAAATTAATGGCCATGAGTTCGTATATGGTGAACTCTAAGTACGTGGACCCCAAGTTTCCTCCGTGCGAGGAATATTTGCAGGGTGGCTACCTAGGCGAGCAGGCAGCCGATTACTACGGCAGCGGCGCACAGGGCGCCGACTTCCAGCCCTCGGGGCTCTACCCACGGCCGGACTTCGGTGAGCAACCCTTCGGAGGCGGCGGGCCGGGGCCTGGCTCAGCGCTGCCGGCGCGGGGTCACGGACAGGAGCCAAGTGGCCCAGGAAGTCACTACAGTGCCCCGGGAGAGCCGTGCCCAGCGCCCCCGCCTGCGCCCCTGCCTGGAGCCCGGGCCTGCAGCCAGCCCACCGGCCCCAAGCAGCCGCCCCCGGGGACAGCACTCAAGCAGCCCGCTGTGGTCTACCCCTGGATGAAGAAGGTGCATGTGAATTCGGGTAAGGAGTGGGTGTAGCGACCTTTCAGCCTTCCCCTACCCCTACTCGCATCTTTTGGCTTGGGCCCCCCAGAGGGGGTGCGAGTGGGTGGGGGCTTGTGAAGCTTGCTTGGGCGCTGCAATTACTCTCTCCATAAATTTTTATAGCTGAGGGAGCAGGCTGGGACCATGTGGCTGACTGCTTGGCTGTGGGCGCAAAAGGGGGTGGGGATGGGGGTGGGGTGGGGGAGGACTCCATTTCCACAGCAGAGGGAACGCAGAGCAGGGAGAAGGGCTTTTCCAAAATGCTGGGGATCCTGAGCTCTTGGTGGGCCAGGGTGAAGGGAACACCTCTGGGGATCTGTGAGCCTGGGGAGTGGGTGCGTGGAAGGAGTGGGTGGGGGTGAGTGTGTTCTTAGGGAGAGGGCGGGAGGGAGGAAGCAAGCAAGCTTGGAGCATTGGGAGGGCCGAGGGCTGCGGGACGCGCCAGGAAGTGAGGGGAGAGGCAAGCTAGGGGCCTAACTAAGTGGCCGGGCTCTGACCTGGCTGTCCTGTCTGTTTTGTCTCATAGTGAACCCCAACTACACCGGCGGGGAGCCCAAGCGTTCCCGGACGGCCTACACCAGACAGCAAGTCCTAGAACTGGAAAAGGAATTTCATTTTAACAGGTATCTGACCAGATGCCGTCGGATTGAAATCGCTCACACCCTGTGTCTGTCTGAGCGCCAGATCAAGATCTGGTTCCAGAACCGGAGGATGAAGTGGAAAAAAAAGACCACAAACTGCCCAACACCAAGGGCAGGTCTTCTTCTTCCTCATCTTCCTGCTCCTCATCAGCTGCCCCCGGCCAGCATTTGCAGCCCATGGCCAAAGACCACCACACGGACCTGACGACCTTATAGAAGTGGGGACCCTGGGCCCATCCCTCCCTCCCTGCACACCAGGTTGAGGCGAAGCTGCGGGTGCAGGCGGGGCCTGCTGTCACCTCACTGGGCTCTAAGGTACTGTGGGGGTGGACCTGGGACCTACAGACCGCCCTCGGACTAGGTTACCATCCTTCCCGAGGGCAGCCCCCTCCCTACAGGGATGGGGTGGGAGGGTGGGCGGGCTTCTTTAAGTATATTATCATATGGCAGGAGCAACTGAGAACATAAAACCTTGGTGAGTCATTAAACTCATGAAAATCTCTGCTGTTGGGTTTTGAATTTGCCAATGAAGGTTGGAGGCTTTATCCCAGTGTGAGCCTGGACACTCTCCTCCACACCACCCCTCCAGGGAGCTGTGTGGCTTAACAACTGTTGGGGGGGGGGCTGAGGCAGAAGGCCAGCACCCAGTGCTAGGTGCTTTCAGTGTGAGCAGGATTGCTGAGCGAAAATCTCAAAACTTTCTGAGTTACCTATAGAATTTCTGCTGTGATTAAAAAAAATGTTTTGCTCCCAGTGGCCCATGCCCAAAGAAATAAATCAAAGAAGGAAGTGGAAACGGGTTCTTTTATGTTTAGATTATATTTGCTTAAATATTTATTCATTGGGGGAATAGATAACAAAAAATACTTGACACCTTTGTGCCAAAAACCTTAGGGTAGAGAACAGGTTGAGCTGGGACTGAGTTAGAAATCTGTGGACTCACTTCTGACCCTATTCCGGATTTTCAGCTCCTCCCTCCCAGCCACCCACCCTGGAAATATGTGTAGCAGGCCCTTAACCCTTCAAGAGGGAAGCCAAGGACCCAGGAAAACCGAGTTCTGAAAATGTGTTTCCACACGTGCTTGCTGCAGCACTGTGTTTACAAGCAGTTCTGGGTGGTTGAAAGAAAGAGGGGGAAAGGAACAAATGGTTCAAACTTATCCTCTGGGGAAAGAAAACAGAACCTATAAGTCCTGGGTCATCAGGGAACGGCAGAATTTTCTATTCCAACTTGATTCCAAATGTTCCAAGTACCCCACATAGCAGGGTTTTTTTGTTGTTGTTTTGTTTTTTGTTTTTTTTTATAGGACTCGATGTATGGCCTATCCCAGGGTAGTGCTATGCAGCAGGGAGAAAGTGGGAAGGTTAGGAAGTCTTCTTTTTAAAAAGGAACTAATAGACTCTAGAAGTCCACAAAAGTTGACCTTAAAGAGATTTCCCTGAAAGTGTTCTTTTGTTTTCTTTCTCTGAAATGCTTCTCCAGACATTAGAAGCAGAAACTGTAAAAGTTTTCAGGCCCATTTCTTTACCTTGAAGATTGTGACTTTAAAACAATCTCAAACAACAGGAAAGAGGATTAATCCATTTATTTATTTATTTTATTCCATGTCTGGGAAGAATTCAAATCTCGTTTTCTTAAAACACTAACCCTTAAGGATAAGGAGGATTAAGAGCCAAAGGTAATGATAGACTTTATATACTCAAATGATATACGTCTTTGAAAGCTTGAACCCCTAAATTTGGGCTCCAAACAGAAACCCCTGATTGCAGTCCCTCCCCCAAGTAAGAAATAGAGGAGGGGTGAACTTAAATTTTAATCATAAGATCAATAATGCTGTTAATTTTTTCAGTATTACAGAACATTTTAGAAGGTTCCAGTGGTTGTTTTTAAAATAGACTTAACTGAAGGAGGGAAAGGCCTGGTCTTTGGTTCTGTGTCTCCTGAGGGCTGAGGGCAAGGATTCAACTGGAGTCCCTAAACTGAAATTCTGCGTCTCTGAAGTATCTTCCAAGCCTTGGTCTTTTGTATTAGACCCTGGGGAAAGCTCTTTGTTCCTCCTTGGGGTGAGCCTGGCTCTCAGACTTGCACATGGCAATACTTGAATATCACCACGTCGGGATATTAAAGATGGATATTCCTGCATTATTTGCATCATTGTTTCTATGACAAAAAGCAAAGAGTTCATACATAGTCAAGATGTCTTTTTTCTGATGCCCTCATGTTGAGAAGCTGAAAAGGTATTTTACTGAAGTTCGGCTAAATTACAGAACCAGGTTCATCCAGAGGGCAAATTTTCTGTTCGATTAGCTGTATTCCAGCCGGGAGGACTGACCTCTAAACCCTTAACCTTTTGGACTGTAACTACCCTTCTCTTCTCTCCTTTTCCCCCTCCTTCTAACATGCAGACAGTCTTTGGATATTGCATATGAAAAGCGCCGCTATCCTTGGGCCAATTGGAAAGTTGCTAAGAGTCTTTCATAAAAGCCAAGTCTGAGCACGTTGAACCATGTCCTTGGGGTGGGGGGATTTATATTTTCACAATATTCAACTATATACCCACTATGGAGATTATCATATAGATTTTCCCCTCTCCTCAGAAGTTCTGGTGATTCATCCAGCTTCAGACCAAATTCTACCCTCCTTCCTCCTGCCCCAAAGGAAAACCACTAGTATGCTTTCCTGAAGAAAACCCCAGCTTCTTCTCAAACGTAGCCCCAACTACTTTGGAAAATAACTTAGTGGGAGAAACAACTTCTTTGTTTTTAAGTCTCAGCTTTTCCTCTCAGCTGGGAGGGGTTGTCTTTTGAAATGCTAATGGTGCTTGCAAGGCCTAGAGAGTGGTTGCCAGTCCTGAAGTCTCATTCCGACCCTAGTACCTATTTGGGCCCAAGAGAGTGGACCAGGGAAGGGGTAGCCCCCACCCCCACCCCAGTCACTTAGGGCAGGGAAGGAAATGAGGCTCCATCTGGGAACCTGCTTTAGAGAAAGCAAGACTTGGAAGGGCTCTAGTGCCCATTTGCTGCTATTTATTTCCATTTTGTCCCCCCTACCCCAATATGAGCCAGAAGTGTTTGTTTGGGTGTTTTAAACCCTGTTTCGGGTGGTGACTGGGGCTGCGAGTGGAATGTTTGCTGAGGACAGCGTGCCCCTAGCTCCCAGCACACTCTGTCCGTGACAGCCTTTTGTTGTCAGGCAGCCCCTTGGAGTCTGCTCACAAAGACACTTTTTACAACAGAATTGACCATGTTTTACTGCCACTGATTAAAGTACTATTTATATTAATTGTTGCCTGTAGTTTTGATGTAATTCATTGATCTATATTTGAAATAATAAAAGGTGTAGTAAAATCTCCTTCCTGTTTGGTGCCTTGATAGAGACTCTTTGTTAAGTTTTCTAAAAACCAACATTCATTAGAAATAGTTTATCTTATTATTTTCTGCAATAAAATTGACACCAAGTTATTTGGTGCCCATGGTGTGAAAGTTGAGCCACTCCAAGTCTAGCAATTCTACACTTCCCTCGCACTCACAGTTTGGCAACTATACTTTGTGAGCATGGGAAAGCCTGATACCGGATCCAGGCTCCAAGGTGGAGGAGGGCATTATTGTTGAAAGAGAAGCAACTGCTTGAGCAAATAGGGGGCTTCAAATCGACTTTCTGTCTTGGTCAGTCCTTAGACCCCCCCCCCCTTCAGAGGCAGTCTTCCTGGTGTGCTGTGTGAGAAACCTTCCCTGTCTCCAGAGGCCGGGTGAGTGTTTTGGCCCAACTTAGGCTGGCTGGTGGTGGTCATTCCAACCTGACCTGGTTGGCCTCTCATCTTGCACTACTACTTTTCTGGAGCTGCTGAACCCCTCTAGGGTGGCCAACACCAGTCCCTCCTCCCTGAGTCCCTCTGGCCCCTCAGACAACAATAAACACTCTCTACTATAAAAAGTACCATGACTATTTTTATCACGAGGGCTTCCCCACATCTTGGCCTCAGCTTTGAAGAGGGGGCCAAGACAGGAGTTCCAAAATAGATAGGGGGTGTCTTGCTGGAGACAGGAAATGAGTAGAATGCATAAAATAGGACATATGTCCTTAATATATGGAAGGGCTCGCCCCAGACGCATGGACATGTGTATTTATAAGTGCGCAGACAGAGTTTAAATATTCAGACACATTTTATGATTGTCCTCTGCCCGTCTTCTGGTTAATGGCTCCTCCTGTGCCCACCAATACATCAATACCGCTGTGTGTATTGAATCACCGGCAGGGATGAGGAGGAAGTGAGTCCATAGCCGAGCCCGCTGAGTACAGTACAGTAAATCGGACCCTCGGCAGACGGCGCCATGTTGGGGAGCCCTCCCTGCCCCCCACGCCGTGCTGGGCGGCCGGGGCTCGGCGGCAGCCGGGGGAGGGCCGCTCATAACCCGGAGAATTTTCAAAGTGCGAGGAAGATGATAAGAATAGATTTCTACAAGTCGCGACCACGTGATTGGCGAAATAATTAATTCAGCACGTCCCTTAAGAAACACGGAGTCGTCATTAATCTGCCACGCAAAGGGCTCTCTCCGACTTGGAAAGTGCAGGGATCCCGAGAACACGGCCCGCCGAGGGGGGTTCCCCGCGCCCGCAGACCCGGCCCCGCGGCGGGCGCCGAGTGCGGCCCGCAGGTAAATATTTGGGCGACTTTTATTTCATCAGATTTCAATCCTTAATGAACTTAGCTGTCAGAACCGCTGACAAATAGTTGCCTTTGCTTCCCTGGTTTGGAACCGCGCGCCGGCCAGAAGTTGTTAGTGGCTTGGATGGTGACCTTTGGTTCAGCGAAGCTTTGCACTTATGAAAAATTACTACGGGCGACCGAGTGTGTGTGTGTGTGTGTGTGTGTGAGAGAGAGAGAGAGAGAGAGAGAGAGAGAGAGAGAGAGAGAGAGAGAGAGAGAGAGAGAGAGAGAGAGAGAGAGGGTGTGGATGAGGATGAGGATGCGAGGGTGTGCGCGCCGCGCGGGGTGAGGGTGCCAGGGGTGAGGGTGCGTGCAGCCTGCTCCCCAGACAACAGGAGTTAAAAAAAAAAACCCCGCCGGGCTGGGGACACTACTGGCGCACGCGGGCCGAGGTTGCCTGGTCGCCTGTGTCTACCGGGAACAATGGTCGCTGTCACCGCATCTGCCGCCTATTCTTAAACCAGCGAGAAAAGGCCCTGGCCCTCTTTTCAAGCGAGGCTCGTAAATTTTTCTTTGCGTCATAATAGAAGGCTATAAAATCGAGTTGAAATTTTACCCCAGGCAGATTTTAACCAACAGATAATGATTCCAAGCTACTTCTCTCGCTCTCCGCCTTCCCCACCCCAAGCTCAGCTGCTCCTCGCTCCAGCGAGCAGTTCCTCCTGGCTTCCTCTTTAGTTTTGTATTTGTAATTTTTCTTTTCTTGAATATATAACAAAAGGAAAAGAAGCCCTCCACCTCCCAAGTCGGAGCTACCAAGGCAAGGGGATGCCTTCGAGACAGGGGAGGCTGTGTTGAGCCGCGACTGTGTCTCTTGCTCCCATTTCAGCCTGTTTTCACTCTCACGCCAAAATTTGACGTCCTAAACGTGGCAGTGCTTCGGTCCTACCCCACTCCAGCCAGCCGTGCCCCCGGGATGGGGGCAAGTAGCAGAGGTTTTCTTCCTTAGCTGCAAGCCCTGACCCGGGTATCTCAGTGGACAGTCCTTTCGTGCCCCCATCTGTGCCTCCATTGACTTTGGGGAGAATTTCAGAGAGCAGGCTGTGCATGACGGTTGTTTAGGGTTGTGTGTATGTTTTGTTTTGTTTTAATTTTTGGTGTGTGTATATTTCTCCGTCAGGACAGCAACAAAGTTTCCCCATTATGAATTATACATTCAAACAATAACACATTAATTCAATTATTCAAAGATGACTAATGTGTATGTGCTTAGCAAGTGCCTCCTGCACGCAGATTCCGGGTGCTTTCTCTGCTTGCGTTTTTCTCAATGAGAATCGTCTCCCCTCTCTCCCCACCCACGTCAGTCCACTCAGACATCCTCTTGTAGGCTCAGAAAGGAGCCCACAACCACAAAAAAAAAAAGGCATCCCAGACTCACTAGAAGCTGGGCCGCCAACAGCCTTCCAAGGCCCGGCTTGGCGGGCACAGGCCTGGGCTATTTTATCAGTGTGACAATTGCCCGGGTTGGTGTGATAAATCATCGTAAGTAATTCCTGAAAGGGTGTGAGGCTGTTGGGGGCCGGGCGAGGACTGTAAATCTTTCCGGTTTATTGCTCTATGAACATATGCTCCGATTGAAGAAGGCTTAGATCCTTTCCTGGAGACAAATTCCCGCAAATCAGCCCCCCTCTTTGGCTGGGGATTAACACTTGCAGCGGCTGGAGGCTTGGGGGCGGGTCCTCAGAATGGGAGTGGAGTGGGGGCAGGCTAAGGTCCATAGCGACAGGCACCCCAAATGGGCCTGAGACCTGGCCGGGACAGGTGAACAAAAGGAGGGGACTCCCTGTTAAGTTTGGGAGTTGTATCCAGCGACCCTTTCTTTGGGGCCTGCCGAGTCCTCTAGATTGGGGTTTCAGAACCTTTTTTTCCTTCCCACGCGCTCATTTATAGCTTTGGGGGCACTTAGTCTCTTAAGGCGCCATACAAGCCATGGCGGGACATCAACTTCGTGGCAGAGCTGCCAAGAAACCGAAAAGGCCAAATTCGGTGTTTCCCATCGTATGGGGTTCTAGGGTGAGGGCGGCCTGACCAGAGGTCAGGAGGTAGGAGCTTGCTAGGAGCCTTGCCCAAGATTCGCTTAACTCTTCGTCCCATTTGCAGAATTAGCTACCGTGAATCTCATCTAGTCACTTGCAGAGGGGTGAGATCGTGTTCTGATACAGTAATTCTAATAGAAATCTCCTTATCCCCAGGTAAGACCGATTCAGTAGGCCCCCTGACCCTCGTGGAGTTACCGCGGGAAGCTGCAGCGTGGCCGTTGCTGGGCCTGTGGGATTCCTTTGGCTCTCAGCAGAGCTGGAACCACACAGGTCAAGGTGGGCAGGGATTCCTCGCCTAGGTGGCTCCAGACCCCGAAAGACTTGGGTGGAGTGCTCAGGGCGCCAAGAAAGGAGGTCACGCTGCTGCTAGATTTTTTTTTCTGGCTCAGAAGTGGCAGTTTGCCTGCTGGGACCACGAACCCCAGCCAGCGCCCCCAAAGAGTGGTGCTGGTGACAGAGTGACAGGTCAGAGTTGAGAACCAGCAGGTTCCACCTTAAGTGCCTGGCAGGTAGTGGGAAAGTAAGGAAGGCATCAGCCTGGGTGGACAGGCAGGGAGGGCATCTTGTCTAGGAGCATGCCGATATGGAGTACAGGACGCTGAGGAGCTGGGGAAAGCCCTGTCTTCTGTTTCGTAGCCCTTTCCACAAAGGCTTATAAGAGGAAACCTCTAGAATGTCCAATCTACTGGCAGAAGGCCGGGCCAGGGTCAGAGGTCTTTGCCCGGAGAGACTCTGAAGTCCGCATCCCTCTGCATTACGGTCAGGCTTCGGCTGCGCTGATTCCAAGCTGCGAGGATGGAGGCTTTCCTTCTCTCACCCACCAGTGTCTTGCCCGGGGGAAGACGCCTGGGTCCCATGCTTCCAGTGCCCCTCCTCCCAGCCCCCAGGCCTGGCTGCGCTCTTGGGCTGGATGGCGTGAAAGTTTCAGCCTCAATCAGTACAATCTTCCCTCGGGGTCACGTGAACAAATATGCTCGCATTTGAAGGCAGCGTCTGTATTTCCCGACTATGAGGGGGTTTCCGGGGCTCTCTCCAAATTCAGAAAGGACCTCGTTCCTAAAGCAAAACAAACCCCGAGCTCTGGGGGACCTGGGAGGGCTGGGCAGGAACCCAGGAGTGGGTGGGGGAGCCAGTGGCCGCCGCTCTGGGCCTGGGAGCAGACCGGCGGGAGGGTGGACCGACCAGCCAGCAGCGCAGGCGAAGCCAGCTTGGGGACTACAAACTCGTTCCTCCAGCGTTTATTGGTAGTTGAACCTCAGCCTGGTTCCGTTCTACCGGGAATTCCGTGTGCTCGGGTATATGGCCGAGTCTGCAAGCGCGCAAGACCAGGGTTGGGACACTGTTGTCTGCAGACAAAGGGGGAAGGCTAGCTCTGCCCCCCACTGGCGCCCACTCTGAGACCGAGGACACCAGGTTTATGATAAATTGGGATCCAGGTAAGCAATTGCATGACAAAATGGAAATCTTTGGGCACAGGGCTGCTTGCTGCCCTGAGCGGGGTACTAAATATGATTTATTTTGTGTAATCTGTGATCTTGATTATTGCCAATTGGTGAGGCAACCCGCAGACCTAGACGCACTGCACTTCTACATATACATCGAGG